TTTCGACACCAGCGCCATTTAGCGCTCTTCTAAGGCTGAGCCTGGAAGGAGTGATTCCCTTTAGGCCAGGCTCAGCCTTAGCAGAGCGCAGATGATCTTAGTGTCCTCCATCAGCGCCAACGCCGAAAATGAATGTGATATTTGTAATCAGGATGTTGAATAACCTCCGTACACAAGTTTTTGGCGGATTTGATGACCTGGGGTATTTTGGCGTGGGCGCTAGGCAGCTTCAGGCCAAGCGGATGTTATGTTCGTGTACAGTGGGTCGAACTACCCCAAACCGATTTTTGAGCCGAATATGCGAACCTCTTAGACCGAATATGCGAACCTCTTAGAAAAAAGTCAGGTCAAAATCGGGCCTGTTTTGGGGAAAATTGAGGTTCTAGTTGAATAGTGCCATTATATCACTATTTATCACATTTTATCTAACAATAACAGCTTGAAACTAGTGCCATTATCGCCAAAATATTTAGGCGACGAAGACCTGCGGCATACAAAAGAACTCATCCGTTGGTAAACCTCCCAGACCTCGGGGAACAATCAAGGAAGAAAATGAGGTTGGTTCCACTCTTCACTCATTATTACGAATTCATCCGCCGGAGCATTTTGCAGTTTGATGGTACGGGCGGAGAGTCTGCCGATGTGTCTCAGAAATCCCAGTCGCAGTTGGAGTCCATGCATGGGTACCAGGTTGTATCAAGCGACGCGTTTTCGGAAACGGATGCGGACTGTGATTTTGAGTTGGACGATGAAGATTATGAACTGACCGAATATAAAGGTGACGAGGTATGTTGCTCGCTTGTTTGCTTCTGTTCCTCCTGTTTCCTCTTTTATTTGTCTCATGGTTCTTATGGTCTTGTTTATTTGTTATTGAAATGTATCTAGAAGATTATGTCAAGCTATACGAGGCTATATGGCCCAATTTTTCTTTCCTTTTCACTTTTATCCCTTTTGTCTCAGAATTGGTGAGAGCGCAGGACGCTTTAGCAAGCCGAGATTCAAGTGCTCATTTCACACCGTCCAGGCTGGAGCGAGGCGTTGTCGCTACCAAGGAACGTCCCATTATCGTCCTGTGCGATCCACCCCCTTTCCCCATCCCACCTACTATCTTGTCAACGTTTCCAAGCATCCTGCAACCAAAACTCCCTCAGAAATTTTCCAGTTTTCACTTCAATTTGCCGTCGAGCGTGGGGTATACAGAATCAACGAAACGAAACCGCGAGCGGCCAGAAAACGTAAGAAATTTCACAGGAGGCAAATTTCTGTTAAAGGCCTATGCACCCCCGCCCCACCCCCCCCCCCCCCTGTTGGGATTATTTTCATAATGTGAATGGCGTCCGTGAAACATGAAAAATTAGCCATCAAAGGAGATTTTCTCAGTCAAATTACGGCCCCTCTCTCCAGCGACCAAATACGACTTCCCGCTGGGTATTCTGCGAGGTGAGACGTGCCGCGGCTAATATCGGTAGTCCGCCGTGAAGCTGAGAGTTTCCATCTGTGTAAGAAACTCCATCATCGCTATTCACATGCTTGCATCTTTCAGGCCTTCTCTGAGATGAAGTATGATAGCGATTTTCGTCCGGCTCCTCACATACATAGGAAAAGAGGCCGGCCGAAAAATCCTCCTGGGACGGTAAGCTAGCTCATATCATAGGTAGCGCTTTTGTTCGTATAAAATGCCTTGCTGACAGGAACCGGCCGAAAACTCGAAAGTACGTGTAAGTGATCCGAATGGAAAGTATCGATGCTATATGCCAAACTGTGATTGGAAAGGAGCGTATCGATCTCTGCGATGTGATCATATGAAGTGGTGTCATAAAGATTGGGTTATGCCCCCACGCTACATCCTTCAGGTTAGTCTACTGATTATTCGCGTCCGAGATGTTTCTACGCACGTTTTCAGCGCATTACCAAAGACGGCATATACATTGATCCAAAAACCTTCGTACCTCCATTTTCCTGTCCAATTGAAGGATGCCAGTGGCGAGGAAGCTATAGGTATGCTGCCTTTGAATAAGTTGTTTGATTTCCTTTCGTTAACACGTGTCATTTTTCAGAGCTTCTCGCTCACAACACATCAAAAGTGCTCATCCTGACTACGTGCCACCGAAGAAGAAAGCTCCCATCGTAAGAATTTTTTTGGTTCTAACTAGTGGAGGCATAAAGGGATAAACTGCAGTGTCAAACTGCGTTTATACTTCCGCGTCTGCGTTTGCCAGCCTACGGCGGTGTTTCGAGCGTACGACAGCCCGAGTCACTAGGACAATAAGGATATCGATCTAGCGGGCGCTAGCGTACACCAGCGTTTTCGCAGGCAATTTGATATTGAGCAAAACTACCCGCGAAAACACTGCTGTTCGCTAGTATACGCCGGCATTCGCCTGATCGATATCTATACTTTCCTAGCCGTTGGCGCGGGCGTGCGCTCGGAGCGCTGCAGTGCGCTGGCGTGCGCTGACGCAAAGTATGCGCAACCTTAGCTTTTAAGGTTGCTAGATACGGGATAAAGGTAGTTGCTGTGATGTGTATTTAATCATGCGAGTGGGTGAATGCTCGCACCTGCTTTTTCCTCAGATACTTTACAATTGAACAGAGCTTACCCTCAATCTCCACTGCTGGACAGACTTGTTGGGACCGCAAAAAAGCTGTTGTTGTTTATCTCTCCGGAAATTCAAGCCCTGATGTTTAGGGCGGCTACGTTCCTGATGGGAAATATGTTTGCCATGTTCCTCAATGCCCATGGCGCGGGATATCTCGATCAACGCGCGCGAGTCATATGAGGAAGGTTCACGGTGGATTCAGCAATCCTTCTTACTCTACAAGACAGGTCCGCATTTCTATATTGCTCTCAATCATCTATCATTCACAGTTGACTTCCACCTTATCCTTCAGGTCGCATGTTGTGATTGCTCGGCAAGTTTCGGTTCACACAAAGCGTTTGTTGACCATATGATCACTGCTCATCGTGTTGGCGGTCTTGTTCATCGTGATTTCAACGACATTGGGGAGTATGAGGTCTGTTTTTCAAGGATCTTCTTTTTATTGTAGTTTCCCGACGTATGTGGTCCATAGTGAATATTGTATTTTCCAGCTTAATTCTTTAGGAATGGTTCAATTCTGTACAAGATGTATTCTCTGTCACGTATGTAAAACGGATGGGAATCAAGCAGGGCCATGAATATCAGGTGAGTTTTTTTCGTCTTCGATTAGCGGTTTCTATACTTAGCGCCGTCTTTTTTTCATGTCAATTTTGTGATGAAAATGATTTTTCCAAGGTCCTCTATCTTTATTGCGCCCGTAGCGGTGGAGCTCGTCTCAAGCATATACCTGGTCGAGATTATTTTCCCGAATTCACAAAGCGTCGCTTGACTCGGCGTCCCACAAAGTGCGGTCGTAACTGCGCAGCATTTCTCCGAGTGGGTATTGATAATCGTCGATCATTGTTATTTCACTTTCTAATCGCCTGAGATTCCAGATAATACACTGGATTGATGGACGCTTGACAGTTATAGGATGTGTAGAGCATACTGGCCATCGGATGGGTACGGCTCTGTTAAGGTTGAGCTCCAATGAACGAGTGGTATTGGACGAATACCTCTACGTCGTGGACGACAAAGTTCCGCTGGATGCCATGTTAGATCGCATAAGAGGTGATTTTCGTTTGTTTGTGCTAGTTCCTTGTGGAAATTCGTATTCCAGCTCCCGCGATAAAAGTGTCATGGATAGTTGCTTTTCAATTATGAAACAGTAGCTGATAAGTAATTCCCCAAAGAAGAAAAAAGCAAGAAGAGTCCTCAAGAACACCATAAACAAAATCGCTCCCTGACAGTCACAACTCTATGCGGTCTCTACGAAAATTGCATCATTCGTGATTTTTACGCGTTTTACCTTACGAGATGGGTTGGAGTTGACTGTATGTGCTCCTAATGAATAAAATGTAATAAAGGAGAGCAGAATCATTCATGGGCACGAGCGCGGTCAGCAAAAAGGGCATGCGATTCCGATTAATGCCCGCCGCCCCAACAAAGAACAACTGAGCGGCCCTCCGTCAGAGGGCATCTAGCAAGTGGGCGGTCCAACTGGGCGGGCGTTAGAACTAGAACTTTCAGCGGCTGTAGCTCGCTCCTCGCTCGCTGTGGAGTCGAATAGAGTGGGACAGTCTCTAGCTTGGGGGCTGTACTACTTGCACAAGGAAGGACGACCATGTACTACTTGAGCGCGGGGGCTGTCTTTAAGCGCAGTGCAAGTTCAGCTAATGGATGTTTTATCCATATTTAGAAGTGGAAGGCTTCACCATGGATGGGTTTGATGTTTGCACTTGAAAGGCGAAACATTTGAAGATAATGACAGATACGTCATGAACGAGAATGAATTCATCTCTCTGAAAGTGCTGTTCGAGGTGAGATTTACCAACTGGCATAAATCACTTTGCCTCTTCTGATTTTTTATGATTCAAGCAGTAATGGGATTGTGGTGTGAGCTAAGGTTTTACAGGTCAGTGGCAGCTTCTTCATCGTTTTTTTTTGATGACTCTGCCTTCGTAGCCTCCTTTTGAAGACGCCCCCGCTTTTGGGAATGGTGTTTTATGCGGCTCAAATACTAATGAAAAGATGGTAAATAACTCAACAGTAAAGATAGATGCACTGAAAACCCGCCCGAAATGCTCCATATAGAACCGCATTGCGCTGAGACCTCTCTAGCTACGTGCCTAAGGCGAATGGACGGGCGGTGCGTGTGGGGTTAACACGAGTTTTCAGTTGTTGTGATCAGGTCTTCCATTTATAACCTCACTATGACCGTTCGGAATGGAGAGAGTTAGAAGCGGAACTACCGCACCACCAGGATGCCACTGGAAATTAATGTTGGGCATTGCGGTGGCCAAAGGGCGGAGTCGCGTCCTGATCGCGGGGTCGCTTTTCCTCATGTATTTTTGAGCTGCGAATGTGATATATCCTCCATGCTTGCTAGCAGAACTATTATGTCCAAAGAAAGCGCTTGAATCTTAAATTTAACGCGGGCTGCATGTAAAAGCAGGAACAACTTTTGACTGTCGTGGAACGAATATGTTTAGACGTCGTCATTTTTCGAACCAGAGTCCACATTCGCTGTGAATCTGTTCGATAGTGAAGGGAGGCCGCTCACGGAAGGAATCTCGTTTGGTAGGTGATCATCAGAAAAGTTTTTAGCTGTCGCTGTAACAGATCCGGATTTCCTTAAGGTATCATGACATCGCAAATGCGTGAGCTATGGGCAACTTGCTCTACCCGAGCCGGCTTGTATTGAAGAGGTTAGTTGTGCGTCATCGTTATAATAACTAAGGATTCTTGTGATTATTCGAGCGCAATTGGGGAGGGCTGCTAGAAGTGGTTATTTAAATTCGAGTTTTTGCACACTTTTATCGTGCACATTGATACTAGCAGATTCGAAAAACTAACCACTTTTGGGATGAGGCATTCATCCATGTTAACGATTTACACCTGTAGTGACAGAGATTCATTAGAAAATTCTCGAACATTCCCTTTGTGTTAGTACTATTTTTTCGGTCCTCCCCCCCCCTCCCGCTGGGGCGGTCCCCTCGAAGGGCCTCCCGTGGTTCAGGCGTAAAGAGTTGCCCGTTGTGACCATCCTTTTTTTCTGTTAACGCTCACGTCCCCACTACTGCTCAACTTGTTTGCTGGGGCCACTAACGGTTATGCTTCTTCGAATTTTCCTCTGATCTTTCGACTGTACTTTTTCTCTCCTCCACACTGTTCTTAATAAATCAAATAATCCGCTTTTTTTAAATGTTGTACAATACGCCAAACTGCTAAAGTAACCACGCAGTGGTGAAATTCCAACAAAGCGTATTATGATCCTGAGTTGTGAATGACCTAATACTAGCAATATGTTAGTATGAAGTAACTTGCAGGTCAACTTATTGATAAGCGATTTCGAACTTCATCTGTTCTTTGTGATGGTATTTGATGCAGACGATATGCCGCGATGCGCGTGTGTCTTAATATCTCAAAGTGGCGACAAAGTCGCACTCCTTAACAAGTTGCGATCTGTGTGAGTTTTTGTTTTTCTTTTTCCTCCGGAGTTTTTCCACATCGCTCTTCTTACAGCGTAACGCCACGTTTTGTTTGAGCTTCTCTAAAATACTTTGAATCCAGATCGAATGCTCCAGTGGATACTGTGGTGACTGATTGTTCTCCGGACTGGCCTGCTTTACTTGATGCCTATTTTGGTAACGAGGCTTATACTGCCGATTTCCAGGTGAGATTTTTTTCCCAGCGTTTCATCGTGTTTTTCTCCTGCTCTGAATTCACTTGAACAGCCTGTAAGACAACGTTCAGACTTCGAGATGACGCGCGGGCGCGCTGCAATTACAATGGCGCTTCAAAGATTTAGACGCGAACGCCCAGCCACTGTCGATCAATACCAGTCTGCAACACTACCAGCCTCTTCCCCATACTCTTCCGGAACGTAAACGGTCAACGCCCAACGATCGAGTGTTCTCGGACGGGAATCGATGGGCATTGGTCGTTTGCGGCTGCGTTCGCGTCCATAGCTCTAAAGTGCCGTATTTGTAGCGCGACGACGCGTATTACAGCGCGCCAACGCGCGCCATCGCGAAGAAAAGATGAATGCTGCCTAATGAGTTTGAACAACGAGAACTCTCAATTTCAGATTGCCGAGTGGCATTTATTATCAGAGTGGGCTGCTAGGATTGATGAGATGGTGTCGAATCGAGTGGATCGCTTTGCGACTCTGTGCGCTTTGCGGCGGTGGACACGGTACCTTATCCTAATATTACTCTCTTCAGCTGTAACAATATTTTCTGTTCTGTTCAGTGCCACTGATCCTACGCTGTTCGAAGAAAT